TGTTCGGTTATAGATTCCTCAGGTCGCGGTTTTCATGGCCCGCCCGCCACACGCTGTACACGCGGCGAGTGGTCGTTGGTAGGGTAGATACGGTATCGTATGTTTGCTTAGCGATAACTTGCGATAACGCACAGCTTTCGGCCGAAACCTGTGCCCGCCTAGCTTGGATTACCTTGTTGGCTTTAACAAGTTATTCAGTCCGTAGTTGTATGTATTTTACTTTATATGTCACGCGGTATTTAGGACGTTTATACCTGTAACTGTTGAGTTACTTTGTTTCCAAAACTGTGCTTTGCAGGTTAAATATCTTTTAAAGGTCATAGGAGTATAGTCTTTGATGATATCACATGGACAAACCAAAGCTCTCGGCCGAAAAAATATTACTATACAAATTCAGGCATTCTTTTGAAGAAGTTCATGCTAAACTTGTATTGGAAAATATCCATAATTTTGCTCCGAAATAAAACTTTCCGTCCAAAAACATTCGATGTAAAAAGAGCTAAGTCTATCTGTGCAATTCTTCCATCGTTAATACCTTTGAGGTCGCATAGAAGCCAAGTCCTGATCAACTTAATCAATTGACTGCAAGGTTGGCGTAGTAGTTTGGTATCTGCCTGCCGTGCAACATGTTACGGGTTCGATTCTCGCACGAAACAACTCTTTGTATGATTCACAAATTGTTGTTCCGAGTCTGAGTTTAGTGTGTATGTGAAATTGTATGTTTGTAAACGCACCCAGGCGAAAATCCAAGTGTGGGCCAACGTTTTGTTAAAAGAAAAAAAAACTTAATTAAATAAATCAATATTTCTGACTATGATGATAACAATAACAATGACTTGGCTTAGCTATGTCATATATCATTCACAGAGTATTTTTGGAAATACAGAATAATCTTAGATGCTTCATTGTTTTCGTCACATTCATTCACAATAGAAGCAAGTCAATGAAATTATACAGACGGCAAAAATTGTCGATTCACATGCTAACACGTAGACAGGAAGTTAAGCAATAGTTCCAGGGACATATGCAATGTTTCCATTCACAAAATTATGTAGATGGATGTCATCAAAAAAAAAACTGATTGATGTTTCCAGGGTTTTACGGATTCGAAGTGCGAATATGTCAGTGTATATCTTGCGATCTGAATCATTTGTTTCTTTCGTTCATTTGAATTTCCTAATATTATCCGACTGGAGGACAAAGACCTGGGTACCATGGTCGGGATGATGTACCTACAGGGCGTGTTTTTGGATGGGTGTCGTGGTTCCGTGGTCCTTTTTGCCTCAATGTGTAATTGACTAGTCATTTCCTATTCTTGATATTCTTTTTAATTAAAGAATTTAGCTTCGTCTTTCTTCTTCTTCTCTGGAGCTGGGTAGAATAAGTAAAGTTTTTAACCACTTATTGCAAAAGGGTAGTGTAAATTATGAACTTGTTACAAATGGATAAAAGTGAAGTTATGATAGATTTTTTTTTGTAATATTAAAGCTTAATAATAATTGCACCATTCGTTCAGAAACTAAAGCTTTAACAGACAAAAAACCTCTGTAGGTACCACCGTTTCGCATCAGGAAATGATTGAAATATAGGGCTCGCTCTATCTGTCCCTATATCTCTGTATACGCTTAATCTTTAAAACTGCGCAACGGATTTTGATGCGGTTTTTTAAATAGATAGTTTGATGAAGAAGAATGTTTATATGTGTAATAACATCTATTAAACAGTGAAAAAACTTACTATCAGCATTGCAACCTCCCGAAGCTGGGGCTGATATGGTCGCTACTATTATTTATACCTATATTTTCAAAATTCCGTCATCCCAAGTCTCCATGGCAGCGGTACCCTAAAAAAGCATTCAATTTGTCAATGACCGAATCTGCGATTATAATCTGTGTCCCAGTTCCTATGATAATCTCGAGTTTAGCCATTATATTATAATTGCTAAACACTCACTGACGACTTTTGTTTTTGTGTTGAACTACCAACTACCTGGTGATTCCTGTTGGGCGGTTTTTTTCTCTAAGTGTAACATCGTCATCCCATTGATTATTTAGAAAAAATGTCAATTCTCAAACAAAAACTTATGCAAAAGTGAGTTTTTAATTATGTATTTTTTGTGACTTTATCGCGTTTTTGATCTGTGTTTTGATGTTGTTTCGTCGTGTAGATTGTTTTATAAAAATCGACCCGATTTTATTTTTTCATTTTGCTTTGTTACTACGGTTTTCTAAGTTTTTGAATAGTAATATGTGAGACTTACAAAATTTATTGGAAAGAACGACTTATTCACGTGAATGAACTGAGAATATCTCTACTAGTTTAAAGTCACCAGTCGTTTTTTATACCAGTATAATATCAGCAGACTCAAATAAAGTATCTTTGGATTTCAAAAATTGCAACAGTACCTCTTGTATTGTAAGTTTGTATGTAGGGGGTTTTTAATTTGTATCTTTGAAACCGCTGATCGGATTTGTTCCTGAGTGCTATAGGTTATAAATTATACTTGATTTGCGAGTACTAAAGTTGAGCTATCGCTTTAAACGCTGCTGTTTTCAAGATCCCAATATACTTTATATGAGTCTGCTGAGTGCTGGAACAGAAGCTTTTTTAAATAAATTTCCTAGGATTGTCATAATTTCAATTTAGACAAGGCAATATAGGGAATAGGATTTAGACCTTCTTCTGGTTTGACGGTAGGCTTGTTATAACCTGCATGTTCTTTTACTAGTCTTGCGTTCCTATACATAACATGCGTAACAGATTCATATGGTAATCAATTTGCTAATCTATGAGAGTCTTCTAACCGGAGGCAAGCGTAATAATCTACTGCAGCCACGGCCCGGTGCAAAAGACAGAAAGGAAGGGGTGGTTTTTTAGTCGTTTAAAGTCGGATTTTTCCTCTCGCTCCACAAGGCGGGAGAAGTTATTTGATGATTATACTACCTAAAAATTCATCATATTATCCATCTTCATCACCTACCGGATCAGCTGGTCGGAAGCCACTTGCATACTGCAACTTTTTCGACATTTGTCAACTAGTCAATAATTATTTCGATTCATCATCTTCCTGCCCTTGTCCCGTTTTATTTGGGGTCGGCGCAATATGTTTTTTTCTTCCAGTCTGTCCTGTCACTCGTCACGCTATCGTTAACTCCTCTGTCTTCCATATCACTTCTCACACAATCCATCCATATTTTCTTTGGTCTCCCTCTCCCTCTCCATCCATCCACATTTATACTCATGGCTTTTTTGTAAAATGCGTTTCATCCCTCCTTTTCACATGGCCATACCAAGACAAACGGTTCCCTTTCAAGTTTTCAGTCACTGGCGCCACTTTCAAACTTCCTCTAATATACTCATTTCTCACTTTATCCATTCTCGTCACACCACACATCCACCTCAACATTCTCATCTGTGCTACATGCAATCGCTTTTCATCCGTCTTTTTCAGAGCCCAACATTCTGACCCATACAGTAGGACAGGCCTTATCACTGAATTGTAGATTTTACCCTTTTAATTTATAAATAATGAATTGCACAAATATTTAAAAGTACTTTAGAAGTCATCTCGGTTTTTAAACTTTAAAAATATTCAAAATATATTCTAAACGATAAAATTGAAGATTCAATTGGAATCGTTTAAAACAAGGAAGAGAATATGGAACAGGAAAACGCTTTTTTGAAGAGATTCACATTCATTGAGTGTTGGGCCATGTGATATAACGGGATTTTGTAACATTTGCCTATACATATGCAATAGTTTTGAAGAGTGACTGATTGACAGGACACTTTGCATGAACCTCTAAACATTCAAAGAGGAACTAGGAAGGCACATGTACTTAGGTACAGTTCATATTATAATAGATCCTTTAGTTATTACCGTGGAGTCTGGTTTCGCTCGGGGTAATCAAGTCCTTTTTGATTTATCTTGCATTAACTTTATTTTCGTATAAGATTATTTGCACACGTGTGTTAAGACGTAAAAATAAATGAATGAAAATAAGAAAACGAAACTTTTTACAGCTACAATAAATATTACAGAGTATACAAAAAAAAACCTTGTCATCGAGGTTGTTAAAAAAAGATATGCGAACGCACCAATGGCGGTGCTGCGTTTTGTAATTCAAATTTGGAAGCGATTTAAATGCGCGCCACCAATAGGTCAGAGTGGAATGTATTGGCATCGCAAGTGGGTGTTTACGTAGCACTCACTGTCTTTATGTAAAACGAACGTATGTAACTGGCGTTATGACGCTTTTCCTGTCACAATATGAGAAAGTAACACTTTGAAAATATATCTACGTACCTACATATTTGAAATCATTGTAATATTTTAGTATAACTTCTTGCGATGAGATCTTTACTATTCGTAGTCCCATATTTCCACCTTCTCGCCTTCTGGCAAACACATTGAGTAAGAATATTAAAATCGTAAATTTTTATCAAACTTTATTTGACTGATGACACGGTCTTGATACAGGTAAGATATAGTTAGGCTTGATAATCTTCTGCTGATACGACCTGTACAAAAGAAGTAGCTAACCAACTGTTCTTAATATGGTGTTCCATGCTCGGCACTGATAGTTTACCACCAGGTCATCCGTACGCTGGGTTACTGGCGTATCTAAGTCTAGATGGGTGCGCGGTTCTCTGGACGTGTATGCATGAGTATCTCGCCGCCTGACCTGACCAGACCCGGTACGGCGCGTTGCGTTTCGGGCTCGGCTAAAAGCAAAGAGTTCTCAGACCATCACCTGATGGAGCCCACTTGGACTGATCTCCAGCTGGGATTGCGGGTGTAAGCGCAATAGTGAGGTGGATCGGGCTTTAGTCAGTATGAGTCTTACATTCTCTCTCGCCCCGCCCATGACTGAAGAAGAGAAGAAGACTCAACTCAGAAAAAAAATGCCTGGTCATAAGTTGGACAGCTATTTTATAACAAAAAGTGTATAAAACGTTTGTTTCGTTGTTTGATTTAATATATAATTTGTTTGTTTCAGATTGCATCGCTGAAGAAGCTTGTTGACGAACTCCAAGCTTCCTTGCAGTCTGAGGTAAGTCATGCCTACACTATTTAGAGACAGAATGTTTGCTTAAATACTATAGGATCCTGATATGCTGGTACTTATTTTATGGTTCCAATTATTTTGTCTAAGCGCCTGACCGAGCAGTTAAAATAAAATGAGCCGCAGATTAACCTCCGCAGCGCGTCAGACACGACGCGCTGCGGAGGTTAATCTGGAGTGTAGTATAGTTCGGCAAACGAGCAGACGGATTACTTGATGGTAAGCAATCATCGCCGCCAATGGACACCCGCAATGGAGGCGTTACAAGTGCGTTGCCGACCTTTTAGGGCTTGAGGAGGGATTGGAGGAGGGGAAGGATTGGGCCTCCGGTAACCTTACTCACACGGCGAAACACAACGCTGTGGTTGTTTCACGCCGGTTTTCTGTAAGGCCGCGGTATCACTCCGCTCGAGCCGACCCATTCGTGCTGAAGCATGGCTCTCCCACTCTTATCAAAATTTCTTGCTCGTTCTTCTCCATCGGAATCTATACTTTGGAACGAGCAAATACCTTCACTAAAGGACTGACTGCCAGGCTGACACTTTTATCTTTAAGCTTTGTTTAACGTTCAAAAGTGCCTGTAAGGGTGTTATTGAAATAAATGAATTTGATTACGTCACCTCCATTTAAGAAGAATATTGACGATGATGTGCCTTTTCTATATATTTCAGTATATAATAGATAATTTATTGTTGTAATCATTATTTAAAACTTTAGTGTACTACTTAAAGACAGTTGTGTAGGTATCGTCCGGTGCTTAACCCCGTGTTCAGACGTCACAATAGATCCACTTGTAAACGTACCTATACCCTATTTATTACCTACAATTAAAACAAACAAGTCATTATTCTATTTTTCTAATATAAATTAAAACAGTACTGCTACTAGGCTTTTTAGTGGACTTAGAGTATAAGGAAAATCAATACGCCATTAATATATAATCCATAATTATAATCCAACTACTTAAATGAATAGAAAACCGAATCAAAATGGATAGTCCCAGCCCATCAAATTTTTTGAGGATTTCGCATTGTGATCGACATATACAATAGCGATGCTTGCTGTTGTAGGTTGTGATTGGGATTTTCAGGATTGGGCATAGGGGAGCAGAGTGAGGGAGTATTTCAGTCGGTTGTTCTGATCGTTGTGGTATCAGTTCGGTCGAGCTGGATCAGTTGTGCCAAAGCATGACTATCCCATTTGGATAAAAAGGGATAATGAGGGTCTAAAATTGTTACCATAAATAATGTTATTAGGTGAATTAATTGCGAAAAGTTGGACTAATCATTCTGTAAGTACGACAAGTCCCGATGACACTTGAAAGTAGAAGGACTTTTGTCCATAAGTGAACTTGAGTAAATACTTACCGTGTTTATGTATTCCTATGATAAAGAAACTTTCTCTGAACCTCATTATAATAGATCATCATCATCATCATCAGCCTATAAGTGCCCACTGCTGAGCAAAGGCCTCTTCTCACACGGAGAAGGTTAGAGCATTAATCACCCCGCTTGCTCAAGGCGGATTTGCGATTTCAAATTTAATATAGAAAGAAATTTTAAGTCCAGGTTTCCTCACAATGTTTTTCTTCTCCGTACGTCAGTGGTGTCTGTATAATCATAAAAAGTAGTTAAATATGACTCGGAAAAAGTCACATTGGAACTTGCCAGATTTCGAACCTCATGCATGAGAAGCGGGCGCCTTAACCTTTTATGCTTTTTGTGTGAGAGGATAATCATCAAATGACTTCTCTTGTCCACGGTGAAGCGAGACGGAGTGTCAGACTCTTACTGACAAAACCCTCAATTCCTTCTCCTGTTTCAGATAGAGGCCGCGGTACCTTATAGTTGATAGTATGCTAAATTAAAAAAAACTAAAATTTTGTTTTGTACTGGCATAGTCCCGGAGGCCGTTAAGAAAAGAAAAAAATCATTGTAATTAGTACGAAAGAAAATCACAGCGGGTCACAGGAAACATTAAATATTAATGATTACAAAAGAATGTTAATTCTGTCAATACGTTGTAGTTTCTAATAAGGTTCTGTAGAAGTTTATATGGATATATGTGTGGGGTCCGGGGTTGGGTGCAGGAAATGTTATTTGACTGATTTAAATTGTTTTTTAATGCCTAGTTTACATACTATTTGGACGTGATTTACTTTAGAATATAAATAGGTATAATCAAAAATACATACGTAATGAATGGTGTTGTAAATTTTTAAAACTATATAATAAATTCTATCATAATCTACATGAGGTGCCTACTTGAAATCATAAAGGCTCTGGATTCTGCTTTCTAAATCTATATAACTATTTGTTCAAACCTTTTAAACCTTCCCTGGTCTTCAACGATTATTTTAAGACCAAAATTATCTAAATCGGGCCTGCCGTTCTCGAGCTTTAACTTAGCTTTCGGGCGAGATACGAACATCAATTCATTTTAATATATAAGAAGATACTAAAGTTGGTTAACATGTCTGATTCATTCTAAAGCAAAATTTATTAACTCTTAGAAATAGCATTTATTTATAAACTTACACGCGTATGGCGACAGCCCAATATTTAAACAAACCGCCCTCAATAGCGGTTACTACCCTCAAGATAACACCTTTATTTCTGCTTATCCCCTTAACGGATAAAATATAAAACATACATGATATTAACAAAACTAACCCGCCACACGAGCCACAGATAAAAGTATTGATCGCTATATTGAAAGGGGTTGATAAGGTTCTATATAAAAGCAGAGATAAGCTCATTGCAGCTTTGTTTTGTCATATAAATCGCTGATGGCGGTAGTTAGAGGTATGTACTTATAATTTTTATTAATATTCTTGGTCAGTAACTGGTTGTAAAATTTTAATTTTCCAAAATAACTGTTTTACTTTGTTATGGGATGGTTGGATGGTTTTTGGAGGTCAATGTTGGATAATAATTGGATTTATATATCATTTTGTCTTCGTACTACATCTCTTGTCCTTGATATATTTCTATTTATAAAATTCGCCTAATCAAATAATTAGTAATTTAGTAATTTCTTCAGTCAAGTCCGGGCTCTAGGTAGAACTAGAATAATTGATAAGTTTCCATCTAGCACTTGAACTTTGGACTTAACTCAAGTTGGTTGTACTACCTTTTATTTTATTATCAACATTTTATTTTGTACATTTTTTTATACAAAACTGTTCATTTAAGAAGTAACAATGTTCATTTTCGTATTTCTTAGAACTTAGCCGAAATCGTCCAGCCGTTTTCGAGTATTGCTCACAAACGCACAGAAAATCCAGCTGTATGAAAAAGAAAACGTTATTTTCAATTCGTTGGCTATAGAAATAATTTCGAAACAATATTAAAAAAACACGTAAAGTAATAGTCGATGAGTCGCTTCTGTGTAACAATATATCAATATGTAAATTGACTGATTAACTCTTGTCAACGGCGTCCGTCGTTTATACGCCATGTTAAAACTGCGTGCCTCATTTATTTCGATATGTAATACGGTAAAAATATACTTAAATTAATTGTGAAGTTTTTTTGTTTAAAGTAATTTTTATCTTTTACAAATTTATTTGGAAAATTAAAATACTTAATTGTTTTTATAATAACTATCGTGAGACATACTAAATTAACTAAAAATCGCGGGTTACCCGACGTAGGCTGCGCGACGTCGCCGCGTCCGCGCACGCTGCTCATGAGGAAGAACCCCTCTGTGGTTCGAAACTAGTAGAGCTTTTCTCAATATTTACACGTGAGTAACCCGCGATTTTTAGTTAATTTACTTAATTGTTAAAAAAACATATCGGGCTCCTGGACTAAAAAGCGTTGAAACGTGCTCAATATAAGAGATGATTGACTCCTCACAAAAACAATGTACTTTTATCGACATGATATAATTGTAACACAGACTTCCAGGTTTAAACATTTTCGTATTACCGACAGTTCTGCTGTTCCCACTTCATACAACAGTCTTATAATGACTCGCCCAAGGATCACATAGGTGCAGGAGGTCGCGATCGATAGTGAACTATGCAAATGATTGCACAACGTCGCCGTCCTGTATTTAACGGCCTTCTAATGCGTGTGCGCATGATTTTATTTAATTTGAATACATCGCAACCCATTTGTTAGGAAAAGGAAATGATCTTTGCCCCTATTAAGTTTTTAAAGAAAAAAGGAGATTGTTTATTCCTGTGTTCTGATTTAGGGTGTTTTTTTAATTAAGTATCGAAAGTAGTTTGAATCCGGATTTCCTTTGAATTTTTATGGCAAGGAAAATTACAGTGTTTGGAAGTCTAGAATCGACTATATAAATATGTAGAATCTATTCATATCTTACGGAAGATGCGTGATAATAGAGCAGATAAATGTATAAGTGTGGGAGAACCATGCTTCGGCTCGACCGGAGTGATATCACGGCCTCACAGATCACCACCATTAAACAATTGTCACCGTGTGACTGAGGCTCCGGAGGCTCGAAATCTCGAATACTCAAATCTGTACCCCCTCAAAATTTACAAGGTTAGGTACGTGTAATCCGTCTTGTGTAGCGAGTGCTATGGGCGGTGCCTGATTGCTTACCATCAGGTTATCAGCCTGCTCTTGCCGTCTTATACATAAAAAAAAAATACATTATAAAACATTGAACCATTGACCTCTATCGCATCGACAGCTAGGTTTGAGGGGAAAGTCATCAAATGTTTCAGAGAGTGTCAGACTCTTCCTGACTAAAAAACACCCTGTTCCTTGTCCTGCTCCAGACGTGGGCCGCTGTACATTTTGCCCTTAATCCGCTACTCCGGCTCCAAAACCTAAACTGTAGCATCCACATAGCTTACATATGTTGTATCCACGTCAGACGCTTTTTTATTGTGCTCATGGTGGTACGGGAGGGAATGTTATGGACTAAAACCCACCCGTTCCTTCTCCTGCTCTGGACCGAGGTCACGGTGTCTCATTGCGTTTACCCCGCAACCCCGGCTGAACATCAGC